AGGAAGAGGACAGTCAATTTAGTATCTTATAGAAAAGTTCATTCCCATTATGGTATTCCTTCATTAGTTTTAGAAATTGTGAATTGTGTTAACTGCTTGTCAATCAAGTTTTAAACAGATTAGTATTATTTCACTTTTTTAACTTTATTTCTTTGAGAAAGGAAGAAAAGAAGCAGGGTTGATAATCTGTTAGGGGGATGAGTAAATAGTACACAGGGGCAATAAAGTGATGCTGACAAATACTAATCCAATAATCTTTATTTTATATGGAGGAGTATTGACTGATTTTAGAGACAGGAAGACAGAGAAACATTGATTTTGTTGTTCCACTTATTTATGCATTCTTTGATTGATTCTTGTATGTGCTCTGGCCAGGGACTGAACTTGCAAACTTGGCATATTGGGAGGATGCTCTAACCAGCGGAGCTACCCAGTCAGCGTCTATATGGAATGGTATATGAATGCTCCTTTCTGTAACCACATAAAATGGGCATGTATATAATATTTATTTCTTCGTGTATTCAACAAAAAGTTTCATAATTTAAAAACCAAAGTTACTTTTTAGAGCTCCAGCTAAAATGCAGCTTCATTTCTGTACTTCCTGACTAGTTTACTTAATGTAATGTCACTGTCTGGCATGTATATAATATGTTCAACTTTGCTTTATAGGAGATTCACCTTTCTATGCTATTGCATAACTTTAGAGGATCAAGTTAGTTTAATTAAAAAGTAGTATCACTGCCCAGCAATTCATAGGTAGGAGTTATTCTTCTGTGGTAGTTTGGCTTGAAGTTCAGTAGTATCTCATATAGGAATTGCTCAAAACTACAATGTCTGATTTTAAAACTTAAGTGATCAAACGAAATTTCTAGAAGAAAAAATCTGAATAAACAAAAGTCTTCATTACCTAGGCTTCCAACTTTCACGAATAAAATTTCTTTGCCTTCCTGACATGCATCTGCTGTCCATGGAAGTGGAGGGTGTGAGCGTCAGGGTAAGCCAATGGTTAAGACTGCGTATCTGGTCAAATCTTTAAAATCTCTTATATCTGATTATGCAATACAATTCTCTAAATCTGTAGCATCCTACCCTAGATCAGGAAGGCAATCTGGTACACAGAAAAAATATATATATATCTTTCAGTTTCAACCACAGGTTCTAATGTTAAAGAAATGTTTGTTAAAAATTCAGCTAGCAAGACATTCCTAGGCAAGTTAATTTTCTTATTTCTTTAATGGAAAAAAATTACTATCTTTCAGAACTGTTGGGAGAATTACAGAAAATATGAATAAAGCACTGAACACAGTAAATGGCACATAGAATAACAAATAATTAGTTTTTGTTGTTATTGGCTATTTTTGAAATACAAATATCCTAGATAGAATATGGGACTCAAATTTTCAAGTTTTTTTCCACACTATAAAAATTCTTTTGAGTCTAACATATTCATTTATTCAAATATTTACTTGGTGCTTGTGACATATAAAGGCATTATCCTTAATATCAAGAATATCTCATAGAAGAAATTAGAAGTATCATCCCTTGCCCTCAAGGAACTTACATCTTAGAGGAGGCTAGACATTAAACAACCAATTATATAGTTACCTAATTATAATTGTGAGTGCTACAAAGATAGCCTGCTAAAGGGAGAAATGACCTAACAGGATCAAAATTTAAATTTCTCCACAAACATCCCACCTCCCTCCTGGGATTTGCAATCATACCCTCTATAATTAAACCTAATCCCAACCCTTGTATAGACTTGATCTGTCTGGTGTTTTTTTTTAACAAAAGAATAAGTAATTAACCTGATTGGCCATTTTTAAGTTTACTTTTTAATTATTTTAAGTTATTTTTTAATTATAGCTGGCATACAGTATTTGCTTCAGGTGTACAACACAGTGATTAGACATTTATATACTTTATGCAGTGATCCTCCATAAGTCCAGTAATCATCTGTCACCATACATGGTTATTATGATATTACTAACAATATCCCCTATGACTTTTTTTTGTTCAGAACTGTATACTTAAATTTCTTAAAAACTGTGAAAAACCTACAAATTAAGTTCAAGTATTCCACTGGTGACTTCTTAATGAAAGGAAGCAAAGATATAATAATATAGGTAAGAACTTGTCACCTACCCACTATGAACTTCTCTTAGAAAACACATTTCTTGATAGATTATAAAACCAATATATTTATTTTATGTGCATGCCATTGCTCATAATAATTACTTGTTTCAGAATGTTTTCATTAAAGCAATAAATATTTACATATTTATTACTGAAAAATTATTTCTGCGATTTTTTAAGATCACAACAATTCTAATTTGCTGACTAAAAGAGAATTGTTCACTCAAGTACCTTTTTAATCTACCAACTTAAAAATTTTTTGTTTAAATCTGGTGATCCATTTTAAAGACAACCTCAAGATTCCTATCTTCAGAATTTAGTACACTGCTGTAGAATAATGCCATTCAAATCCCAAGTAAACAAAAAGGAAAAAAAACTAAGGAATGAGATCCACTCTCCCACCAAAATGAAACTAAGTTTATTCTATAAAATAGGATCTTCTTCAATATTTGCCTTAGTTTCAAACAACAACATTCACCTAGAAATTAATGCAACAATTAATTCAGAAGAGTCCTTGTCAATTTTTCATAAGTGGCCTCTTCACCTATATTTTAATTCATAAGGCAAGCCAGTCCAGGATTCCTGATGCCAATTACAATGAATGGAAGAAATATCTTTAAATCAAATAGCACCATCTAGCAGAACTCTCACTACTTTGCTTACAAAAGTAGACGTTACTTGGTGTTCACTTTGGTAGAGCTGACAGCAAAAGTGTCAATTATTTGTTTTCATGAAATCACAGAATTGGAGCTACAAAGGTCCAGACACCCAGGTTTAGCTTGCTCATAAACTATCTCAGGTACTAATTTTTTAAACCAACTCAAAGGATAAAGATTAGATCCAGCCATTCCTGAAAGTCCCACTAAGATTTAAATTACATTTATTCTCAAATTCAACCATCCTCAAAATAAATAAGACTGTCTCAACACATTTCAATTCCTTCACTCTCAATAACATGAAATCCAAATGCTCTGTAAGCATTCAAACATTCTCCTGTTTTTATTTTATCAGGTCTATTACAACTAAATGATTAATATATACAAATCAGACTGTTATTTCAAAACTTCGATTCTATTAAATGCTGTTTCTCAACCAGGCTATGATGCTGTCTTTTACGCATTCCTTGTCACAGCAATAAGATCTTGAATGTAGCTCCTCAGAAAATACCACTGGGGAAAACAAACATCAGTAGCAACAATAACAAAACCAGTAGCTCTCCGTTAATTTTCTGTTGTTGTTTTGCTACATCAAGATCTGCCACCCCCAAATCCAATGGGAATTGTGTGTTGCTGCCAACTGGAAGCTTAGGAAATGTTTCCATCCCTAGGGCACAAAAAACTTTCAGGAGAAGACTATATACTATCTGCCTAAAGCAAAGAGGGGAAACTCGCGAATTCGGTTTTTATTTAAGCAGCTATTTCCGTGTGCAAGGTAAGCAAGGTAGCTATTGGGAGATGCTCTCAGACTTTTCCACAGTCTAAACACCCTCGGAAAGGGAGGTGAGCACGTTCAATGACAAGGTAAGCCTCACCCTTGGAGTGGAGGTGGTGCCTGGGAATCACGGATCCGCTGCACAGAAAAGAGGGGTTCTTCCCCAGTGGTCACAGTCATTATTCGCTCTCATTTTTAGTAACCACCAAATCACCGTTACAAGTGTATAAGAATAGCAGCAAACAGCCTTGCTTCGCAGTGTGCCGTGACGGTGGCATCCCGGCCCGGAGGAGCTCTTTTCTCACCAGCCTCCTCTGGGCTCCCACCGAAGTTAACACCTGTATCTCTGCATAACCCCAACCAAACAACTCCTTCCCACATCTACGCTTCTCCCTTCCCTAAAATCCTTTTCGGACCCCTGCCCCTTCCCCATCGCAGAAAACCCTCCTCGCACCGGCCGCCGCAGCTCACATAACACCCCCTCCAAGGACCCCAAGACCGCCGCCGGGGAAACCGCAGCCCCCAGATATTTGGAAAGCAGCAAGTCTCCCCAAAAAAGTTCGCCAGCCACCGCTGCCGCAGCTTTGAGTCGGCTGCGAGAGGCAGAAACGCCAGCCTGCTCCAGCAGATCCCTCTTCTCACCAGCACACTTTCCCTCCCCAGGAACTCGGTCCCTCCCAGACCCCCAAACTTCAGCGGCGCCCCTGGAGCCCACCGTCCCCGCCCCGCGAGGTGCGGGTGGCTGGGAGCGCTACGTCCCTCCGCTGGCTGGGGAAAGTCCCCACGCCCACCCGACCCCGGGCCGCACACACCCTCCGCGCCCCGCGCGCGTCTCCGCGCCCTGCGGGGCCCCGCTCGGCCGCTCCACGCCTGGCTTCCGCCCGCCGCGCAACCGGCACCGCCGCCCTCGCCTCGCCCAGCACGGAGCCCCAGCGCCCGAGCCCCCGCTGCGGTGCCCCTCGCTCAGTCCGCCAGACCCCAGCCCACCCTTAAAAACACCCACGATCGCCCCCTACACGCAGCTGCCCCCTCCCACCCTCCCCGCGACCCCCGGCGGCTCTCCAGGTCCCCGCAACCTCGGACCCTAGCTCTAAAGTTACTTTGTGGGGAGGTGAACCCATGGGTTATTTCCCTCAATCACCCAAACAAGTTTCTCTCCTCGCCACCAGCCCTACCGCCGCCCCCCAAAACACTCCCTCCCTCCCACCGACAGCCCCCACGGCCTCCGCCCCAAGAGAGCACCTCTAGGGAGACGGTCGCTCCCCGCACCGCATGCCCCCAGCTCGCGTACCCCTCCCCCGGCCAGCCCATCCCCGGCTCTCCCCGGGCGGAGAGTGTCTGTGTATCTGTGTGTCTCCAAGAGAGTGCGCGAGTGCGTGCATGTGTGTGCGCGCGTGTGCAGGCGGAGGTGGGTGAGAAGCGGAGACACTTACTTCTCCCGGGCCTGGCTGTCGGACGGGACGGCGCTGCTGTTACTCTTGCCTTTGCCGTACATGCTTGTGCCGAGAGCAGCTCCCACTGTCACGCACCTGTCAACCCATCACAGCCTCCTCGGGAACAGCCCCGTCCCCATGGCGACCCACGCAGCCACCCCCACTATTGGCCGCTCCACGCCAAAGCTCCGCCCCCTTCGCCCAGGCAACGCGCAAGACTGACAGGCCTCCCCCTCCCTCCGGCCTCCCGAAGCGCGCGGCGGCAGCTACAGCCTAAGCGGCAGTCTCCTCCCTCCTTCCCTCCCTCCTGGGTTCCCTCCCTCCTTCCCTCACAGCTCTCCTCCCTCCTCCCGCTCTCCTTCCCCCCTCCCCCCTCCGAACCCCGGCGCAAGGGGGGAATTAGAAACTGCTCTAGAAGGATTTTAAACAACTGGCTGTTCTCTCCGCCGCCGCCCCTCCCCCCGCACCGCCCGCGCTCGTCTCCTCACTGGAGAGAAGGCGCTGGGAGGAGGGGAAAGTGCGGCCTGGAGTTTCTGGCAGGAGCCGGCAGAGCTGGAACCGTGGCGGCCCCAGACTTCGGGGCGCCGGCCGAGTACACTGACAGAGCTTCAGTCCCGGCAGCCCTGGGAGACGCCCCCCACCCAAGCCTCCTCTTCCTTCCTGCTCTCCTGACTGTGACCCGGTGCCCGTACCCAGCAGTGATCTCGGCAGCCCTCAACCTCCTCCCCAGGGTGTCGCCCCCGCCCTGTTCCCTAAGGGCCAGAGAGCGAGGGGTGCACGCGTTGTTCCCTCGACCTTCTGGCAGAGCTACCCAGAGCAACTCGCTTACCCTCCGGGGGAGTGACTGCGCCTCAGGACATTGGCGCCGCTGGGGTGGCGTCGCCTGGCTCCTGGGACCGCGCCCTGCGCCCCTTGGGAGCGCCCGGCCTTGGGCCTGCCTCCCACAGATGGCCCAGTGACTCCCAGGGCCTCAGTGCTCCTTTACCCCCGCCACTCCAAGCCCAGAGCCCCGGGGCGCACCAGCTCCCCTGCCAGATCTGCTGCACAAAAAGGCCCCAGTCATCCCTGCCTAGCCTGGTTTTCCACCCTCGACGGGTGGTGTCTACTCATCCTGACTTCTGGGGTGGGAAGGGCCATAGGAGACCTTTAAAGACACCCCTGTCCTTGCCCAGCAGAATATGTACGCCCTAGCCACTCCAAGCTCGATGGTGTGCAAAAACTGTGTTACAGTTGAAAGGCTGCCGGAGAATATTTCTGAATCCGAGCTCCTAATTTCATCCCACTTCAGTAAACGCAGAAAAGTTTCAGAAACAGACACAAACTGGTTCCCGATAGAACGACATACTTTCATCTGCGGAGGTCCCTGGATATAAAGTCAAACAGTACTAGTTGGGTTAGAAAGAATAGATGGGCATCAGAGTGACAGAGAAGAGGGGTGCAGGTGGGGTTTAGACAGGCGAAACAACAGGAAAGATGAATGGGCTTGACACAACTAAGGAAGGGAAGATGAACTAGATTCAAATGGGAAGAGGTGTACCTTTCTACCTCTATCCCTCACAGCTTTATGCTTTTAGTAGTAGGATTATAAAAATTCATATGAAGATAAGGAGATAGATAGAATGGAAAGAAATGGGCTTGTGTGGACATTGACAGCAAGTGATAGAAATAAAACATCAACAGAAGGTTAGAAAAATGAGAGAAAGAATCAGAAAAGGGGTTGGCAACCAAACATAAATCAAAATTGGGAGGGCAGAGGTGAAGAGAAAGGACCTTGCTATACTGATGTTAAAGAAAATGAAAAAAAAAAAAGAATTGGAAGAATAAAAGAAACAGGATTAGATGAAGCCATGGAATATGATAGCAAAAGAAGATGAGCAAAACAATAGACTGAATTATAATAAAGATATTTATTTTAAAAAGTACAAGTGCTGTTACTAAAAGGACAAAAAATCAGCTAATAGAAGTGAGAATAAAGAATGAAAAAATCACAAGAGCTTAAGTTGATTAATTTCCAAGAGAAGTAATTTGCCATTTTCTAATTTTAAATGCCCCCTTCTTTTTTTTTTTTTTTTCTACAGTGATCTACAGTGATTTGGTGGTGGGGACATGGCATCCATAGACTCTGAAGATCTAGAAGAAGTAACACCAAGCCAGTAAGCCTCTCTCTTTTGAACTGTTCCTCAAAATGCTCAAATGTAGATAGGGTTTGCACTGTCTACAGTCTCTACCTTCAGGTTAGCTTTATGTACTTTGTTTTTCAATTATCCACTTTCATTGGCTTTAACCCAAAAAACTATTATCATTCAGGGCTCCATCACCCACTGAACATTCCCTACAAGGCTCTGCTTAGAGAATGCTGTCATGGAAGGAGTTCCTGGCAGCTGCTTGCTGGTCCATACCTGGAATAAGGTAAGGTTTCCATTAAAAACTAAGAGTGGGCTTTGTAGTTATCTAAAAACAAATTAGTTACTACCCTTACTCTGGTGTTGGGATTCTCTAACTATGGTTCTCAGTTGTGGGACATAGAATTGCCTTAGGATGATTTATTTTTTTGTTACTGTAGTTCATTTTTGTTTGTCTGGGACCTCACTGGAATAAATCAGGCTAACTAAATCAGAACCTTGGGGATGGATCCAGGCATCTGTATTTTTTAAGCTCCAAGTGATTTTTAAATGTAACCAGGGCTGCTTAACTGTGCTCTTTAGTGTTCATTTAAAGACAGCCAATGGGCACCCTTAGATCTCAGAATGAGATTTTTTAGGCTGTGGCTACACCTAGCAGATGACCCTCCCCATGAAAAGCATTAAGTTATCTTTACCATGGACTTTACTTTCTACTCATTGAATCAACAAATTTGTTAATAGCATGAAAATGTATGACCACATGTATCTTATAATACAAGACCACAAATAGCCATGGTTTAATTTGCTATCTCCTAATGAGAAAGGAAAAGTGAAAGAAAACAAGACAGGCTGTTTGCTCTCTATTGCTGCAATTTATTCATTTGATTGTATGTTACCCAGATTTGATATATGGAAGAGTCCTTTGTGTAATGGTATATTTTCTGATACTTAAAAAATAAATAAATTGTAGATCTGCACAATGCGTTATGGAACTCAGAACAATTTGGTCTTAGTATATGCAAAGAATAAAATGCTAAAATGTATTAGTTGAGAACTTGCCAAGTTGATGTCAGTTATCTTTATGAGAATGTTATCCAACAAATATACAAAGTGAAAACATGACTGTTCCTGCGCATGGTAACCTTAAAGCTTAAGTAATCAAATCAATTACCATGAAAACATCTCAGCAGCTACCTGCACCATCTCTGTTTATTTTCTTCTTAATGTTTACACAGGTAAATAAAATGCTTCTTTGCCCTTGTTCAAACTATTTTGAGTACAAACAATGTTCTTTGCATCAGCAACCAGATCTCATGGGGCCAACGTTGTAATTAATGAGATTTGAAACACATTCAGAGCCAAATTTGAGATCCCAGATATAAAAATGAAGAGCCATTGTTTTATTTTCAGTTTTATAAAAGGGGAAGAGATAGAAGATTTAAAGCTTCCTAGTGTAAAGAATCACAATATATATTTTTAGGAGTTTTGGGCTTTTTAAAAAACCTCACACGTGAGGCTGCTTAATTTTGGGAAGCTGGATTTGTGGTTGGGGAATGCTGACTAGCTGAGCCACCAGAATAGAGCATTTGCATTTGAGGTTGATTTTTTAACTTTATTCTTTCAGATATAGAACCAGCACAGTACTCAGTCATTAGGTCTCCTCCCAAGTCAACCCCCACCATACGCCGCCATTTCGTTTGGGCTCTGATACACAATTTTCTCATTCTGGAACCTGCATCTTATTCTTACAAGTCTTTATCATTTTAAGACAGGCAGTTCATTATACTGTTCTACTCACCCTCTAGATTGACTACACAGTGCTTTGATCCTAATTTTTCCCTAAAACATTAAGGTTAATAATGTCTACATTCTTCCAGTGCATGAAACTTCAGAAAAGATTCCATTTGCTGTATAGAACAAAGGGATTTCTTCTTTATGTTTAAATGGAAGGTAATAGTGAATTTAATTATTTGTGTCACAGAATATTTATCATGCTAAGTTAAAAATATTTAAGGTAAGAAATATTTATTTAGAAAAATTAAACTATTCAAAGATTAAAATGGATTTTCTTATTTTGGGGTATTTTTTTCAAGTCACAAAACTGTTCTATTAGTTATTTCATAAAACTACTTTTAGTTTATGAAAATAACATCTTATTTACATTCGTATCACTTTTCATTTCAAATCACTTAACAGTAATACATCCACTCACTAATACTCAATGTACCCCAGTTAATGGGAATTTTCTCACCAGTTTTAAAACTGGGTAAACTGAGTCCTAGAATGATTCATTAACATGATCTGATCCATAAAGAAAATAGAACTAGTTCCAGGATGAGAACTCTGTGTTCCTGGCTGACAGTCCTGTTCCCAGACCATGAAGCCGCACCTCTTTCTCTCAGAAGTGACTATTCCACAGAGGAATGTGAGCAAGCTCTGAGATGTTTGTCAAACTGCATGTGAAACTTCACTCCCAGGAAGAACAGACCAGCATGCTCAGATTTACAAACTGCTTACGAGCCACGTACCAGAGTAATTGAATGAGCAGTCATTACAACTATAATGCTATGCAACATGGCCTCTTATACCAGAATATTAAATGAAATGGGGCCTCAAATTAACATTATTTGACACACTGTTATTGGTTTAACATCAGTTAATCTGAGGCAATGACTGTTTTCTTACCCTGTTGCCCTGGATTTTTAAATCTCAACTTAGATATTCATAAACACTTACCAATGGGTTTGGGAAGACAATGTGCAGATCTACCCATTCTAAACAGTTCCGTCTCTAGAGTACCTAGTCCTTTTTAACACTACTATGAATTTGAAATTTAGTGATTTGGACAAAATAAAATAATCCTGATGTAAAGAATTGTGCATAAACTGAAGATGAAGAAAATGAGGGGAACAAGGCTACCATGTATGGCAATTTCACCCACATTAGCACATTTTGCAAAACAAATTCCAAGCAATGCAGTGTTCACTGGTTGGACTTTTGTCATTCAGTATTGAAAGTTATATAAT